CTTTTGTTGCTGGGGTGCATATACTTGTTGAACAACTATACCTCTTTCTTGGAGAAACATGTCTATTTAGATCCTTTATCCCTTTTTTAAAAATATAATAGTTTATTTTACATAATTTTGTACATTTTTCTTTTCATCTCACTTGTAATCCCCCTTTATCCATTTTTTAATTGGGGCTTGTCTTTTTCATTAATTGGGAAACTAAGAGTTCCCCCTATATTCTAAATACAAGTTCCCTGTCAAACATAAGATTTTCTCCCATTCTCTGGGTTCTTTTTACCTTCTTGACAGTGTTCTTAAATTTTGAAGCACAAAAGTTAAATTTAAAGCCCAATGTACCAAATTTACGTTTTGTGGTTGTTCATCCTTTTAGTGATATACACAGGATGTACTGAGAGCATCTCAAAGGAATCAACTTCAGAGAGCTAGTTCATTTCAACCAACATCATCTGGGAAGTCATATGTTATTCCTTCTACCTGACACAAAGAGAAAAACTAGATTTTATTCTGAAGTATTTAAATTCTACCAAAAAGTACAAACAATAACATACACCTGTGGCCTCACTACACAACTTAAGAAGTTTTAGCAATAAAAGCATTACCCTTCCACTGCACTCTCCATAAAATTATGGTTTTCAAATGCTCTAGAAATGCCATGTATCATATATTCTGGGACTTGCTTTTTTTATTCCATGTTGTTGTTCTTTATCCATGTTAATATAACTGATACAAATGTGTATACATAGCTCTGATTTATTAATTTTCAGTTGCTAAACATTGTATAAATACATCATTTATCCATTCTCTCGGTGGACATAAATGTTGCAGCAGTCAAACACTGTACATTTACTATGTACATTTTAAATACATAGCAAAAAATACATTTTATATCTTGACCCTATATATTTGTGTGTAGCTGTGTATCAGTATAGGATGTTTTATATAACAACATTCCTTCTCATTATTTTTCTATTGCTAGTATTTCCTTAAATACATAAATGGTGTTATAAACACTGAATTGATATCATGACTCTCCTATATGTAAAATCACTACCACACATACTTCAAAAGCTGCTCAAGGATAATGTCCCATGGATAGGAATTGATGGTTCATGGGGTGTCTTAGGTCAGTTAGGGCTGCTGTAACAAGATATCACAGACAGAGTGGCTTAAACATTTATTTTTCACAGTGCTGAAGGTTGGGAGTCTGAGATCAGGGTGCCGGCAAGGTCGGATTCTAGTAGAAGCCCTCTTCTGGCAGACCGCTGCTTTTTTTTTTAAAGATTTATTTGTGCATACAGAACTGGGGTATAGGCCAGAGGCTCAGGGGTGGCGAGAGGCTTCACCAGAGACAGAGCGGGGAGCATAACAGGCAGATAGATGAAGTACATTGCTGAGGGGAGCAGCGGGTGGGTCAGGAGAGGTCTGCCACACCATGTGGTCACCGCTGGGGCAGGCGGGAATCGAACTCATGTGGAAGCGGCCACCAGGGAGGGCCCAGACCGCTGCCTTCTTGATGTGTGTCTTCACACGTAAGGCCACAGTCTCTTCTTTTAGAAGCATCAATTCCATCACAGGGGTTCCACATTTTAACCTCACCTAAATTTAGCCCCTTCCCAAGTGAACTCTACCTCCAAACACCAAACATTGGGGAGAAGATACTCAACACAGAAATTTGGGGAGGACACAAAAATTCAGCCCATAGTTTGAGGTATACACACATTCAGCTTTACTAGATAATTCCTCTGTTTTCCAAAAACAGTTGTAGCAAATTATGCTGGCACAAAACAAGCAAGTTGCCATTTTGCCTCGTTGTTGGATTTAAATGTGTTCCAATACAACTCTGCCCATGAGAAGTGGTTTTTCATAGTATGTGTCCACCATTAGCAGTGAGCCCAGGCATCTTTATGCAGTATATGTGCCATCTGCATTTTCCTATTCCATAAACTCTCAGTTGGGTGATCTACAGAGACAATCTCTATGGCCGTTCCAAAGCTTGAGTTGGAATTCCCATTCAGGTGTGTGGTTGATATATAAATCTGTGACTTACACAGGACAAAAGGGGACCAGTCAACATAACCTCAGGAAGACTTCAAATTCTTCTCAGGCCAGAACAAAGTTGAATTAGCAGCAAAAAAATAAGGAAAAAGCAGGTGGAGAAAAGAAGTTTCATTTTTCTTAAAGCTAAACTGTCCTAATTTGGGCCACAGAAAAAAATATGCTCTTGCAAAGTCTATATAAATCTGGATAATCTGTTATTCTTCTCTTCTTTCCCGGTCTTCCAATCTGCAAAATTAGGATAACAATCTGTACCACTTCTTAGTCCCATGAGGAGAATTTGAAATAAATATTCTTTTCAAACTTTAAAAATAAAGTGTTTGTAGAAACTCAAGGTTCTGTGGGTGTGTGTCATCCAACCCTTCCAAAAAGCAAGTCCTTTGAACAGTTTTTTGGAGTGAGCAGTTCATCTGAGCTCCTGCCTAAAAAGCCTGATGGTTCTGGAGAAGAACAAATAATCCCCTACAATAACATAGTCTACCCTTTCAGCCTCAAAAAAGAAATCCAAGACACTCCATATAGAAACCATATCCCTTAGTGGTCAGATGGCTTCTTTGCAGTGTCTTGTTTCCTGGTTCAGGTTTTTTATTCATCATTCACCCCAACTTCTGCTGGGATTTCCCTGGTGCTGTAGCTGTCAAGACTCATCATAAGGAGAGCTGCTTGCTTTAGACCCAATCACAGGGAGAGGGCTCATCCGTCCACGACGCTTTCCTTTCTCTTCAGGCTGGAGCAATCGTAGAAAGGGAACAGAAATGACTCTTCTGGGGTGATAATTACAACAGCACTGAGGGAAAAAAGCTGTACTAAACTTCACTAAAGAAAAAGAAGCTATGGCTACATAACTTACTGCCAGAAGGCATTCCCAACCAGAAGGTCAGGATCTGTGAACAGGATCATACCATTTGCTGCTTCCATATTCCTGAGGTGTCACTTCACTGCCAGCATTGCACTCACTCCCATCCTTTACTAACATCCATCCTACAAATCGGGAACCCCAGGCTGGGCAAAAAAATAAACAGTGGATCTTCATCACACAAAAGGAATCCCTGCCTGGAGCACCTCCATGTGGAAAGCAGCTGTCTGAAGAGTGTAGCACACAGTGACGCTGAGCTGAATCAAGACAGTCACCACCGCTGTTCGGTGAACAGGTGCTGTTTTTCTGTGCCTCTATGACGCTCGTGAACATCACTTACATCTTCTCCTGTGCTAACTGCTCCTTCCAAGGAGCCTTCTTCTGTTCCAGGTAGATTCTCCCAGCTAAAGGTCCACTGTTAACTAGGCACTGCTCACTCAGGCCTTCTCAAACATGGAGTGAGGGAAGTAAAGATTATCATCTCAGTGACCTAGGAGGATCATTCTTTGATAGATCAGTACTATGGTTAAAATAAACCCTAGAAGAAACTCATTATATGAATTGCAAAACTGGAAATGAAGAGAGGTTTATGTATTTGGTAAGACTTATCTGTAATTTTCTCTGGGTTAAAGTTATACATGTTGTCAATCTATTATAAAAAATATAGCAATAAGGGAAAATAAGGTCAAAAGCCACAGAGAGTAGAATTAGATTAATAAATTCTAGTCACGGATTATTTTACTTACTTGTGCTGCTCCATTCTTTCAAAAGCAGCATCCAAGGGAAACATCTAGTTTCTTCTAGAGCCCAAGAAAGAATAGATTTGATCTCATATTCAAGGTAGTATAAAAGAAGCATTTTAAAAACCTGAAAGCCATTTAAAAACCTGTTACCATTTCCTAAATGGTAACAGATCTCTTTCCAACCCAAATAGAACTAAGAAATTCTAGGGAACATTAAGAGCTCCAGGAGTAGAACACTCTTTAATGTATATGGGCTCTCTCTCTCTCCGTTCTTCATCTCCTTTGCATGCAGGTAAGTTACAAAAGTCATGTGATGTTAATATGGTAGAGGTTCCTATTATTTTGACAACCACAGAAATAATCTGAAAATAGAACCAAATTAGAGGAAAAGTTATGTGGGCTATTTCTGAAATCACGTACGCCACGTACCCATCTGCCCCAGTGTTTTCTCACGTGCGAACTACAAGTAGTTATGGTACTTTACCCTGGTGCACTGGACTCTGGGTAGTATAAGTCAGCTGAGTTTTGTTGCCGGGAGCAAAGGTCCCTAGCACTAGGGGAAATCTTTAGCTCTCTGTAATTGCACTGATCCTAATTGGAGAGGGGGTGGGGACAAAAGTAAAGCTATTTTTAACTACTGATAGATCTAACACACAAAAAGGCCACTTGTGAAATATTTTGGGAGTAAGACAGTTATTGCTTGGAAATAACAGGCATCTTTGAACAGTAAGATCTGTTAACAAAATCTAATCCACTTACACACCCAAAAGCTCACCTGGGAGCCGCTCCAGGCACCACCTAATTAACTGAAGCAGACAGAAAAAAAATCCTCAGAAATGATCATTGTTTAAATACACTCTATTTTATTTTGTCTTAAAATAGTTTAACCTTTATGCTACAGACTTATTTCAAAAAACAGAAAATCTTATCTTGCACCAAAAAATATATATATAACACTCTGTTTTATTATTTTTTTTCTCCAAAGACCATTAAATACCAAATGGAAACAATAACTAAATAATGAATGTAAAGAAGAACCAAATTTCATTTTAAAAACTAGAGTTGCACATTTCAAAACATTAATTCTAAGCAATGATTTGTCGTCACTGCATCAAGTCCATGCTCACACTCCAGCAACAGCAGTTCTGTTAACCACCAAGTGCATTGGTTCCTAGCCATACAATGGCTAACATTTCATTTTCACGGTAAGAAGAGCAAAAGGTGTCAATGACCTCCATACTCTTTAAAAAACAAAACAAACAACAACAAAAATATTTCCTAGTTATCCAGTGATTTTTTTTAAGATCACTACCCTTTAAAGTTTGTTAAAAGAATAAGAAGTATGTAGTGTTTTAAATAAAATGGGAAAAAAAAACAGCATTGGACTAAAATACGTGATTATTTTAAACAAACAGTGCACAATCTGAGGAAGTTTGGTTAGGGCGCAATCATTTTATATATACATGGAAGTCACATCATACACATACTGGAAAACAAGGATTAGGGGCTCTTTGTTTTTGTTTAAAAAAAAAAGTCTGAACTAAAAGACAAAATTATGTCCCTAGCTTTTCCAAAAACCTTGTGACACAGTATAAAAAGCAGGCAACAAACTCATTTTTAAGTCACCTATGATGCTAATCTGCTAAAAGTAACAACTGACTAAATTAGCAAATCAGACAGTTCATATTCACAATTGATAATAATAATGCAGAGTTTGTGGGATGCTCAATGCAAAGAATAATGGAGTCCATTCAGTCTGGGCCCTTTTATCAAAATGCAGAGACAATTACTGGGGAGCAGCAGTCACATGCTATAGGGGGCAGCTGTGATGGTGCAGTTACTGTTCTGTGGTTTCAAGTGGAGCTTGCAGGGGAAGGACAGGTGGGCTTAACCAAATCAGTGCCATAAACTTATCTATGACCCAAGTGCACCATTTTAGCAGAGATATTATTTGGAACAGGCATTATCTCGCAAGCATAATTAAACATTTGCTACCAAATACAAAACTTTAGTTTAAAAAAAAAAATCCCTTAAAAAAAAAAACACTTCTAATGTCACAGGAATTGTTTACCACAGTATTTTATCATTAATACCTTGCCAGAAACCACACCCCCACCCTCTTCTGGATCTAGCAAGGAAAGAATTGAAACACAGTCTCTATAGCTAGTTAACAGGCAGAAAGGCCCCACCCCTTGAAGAGGGGTTCACGTCTCTGTTGTCCCTTCCCTTCCCTTCCCCTTTCCGCATTTTAATTTCTGTGTGTCTGTTGTGCACCAAGTTTGGTAGTGAGGGTGCTAAACCAGGGAGACAGGTAAAGGCAAAGTGTAACTTGGTGTAAAAGGCCAAAACAGAGCAAGGTCACAACTGCACTTGTGCTCCCGGTCCACAGTGCACACAGCACGGCAGAAGAATTCTCTTTAGAGGACAGCGATCAGGGTTAAAGAAGTAAGTCATGAGAAATCACCTGCCATGTGAAACTGGACAAAACATATGGTCAACTGTTAATATATGAATAGGTAATGCAAAAACATTCTTTAAAATGGGGCTCTGCCCTGATACTGGGGGGAAAGAAAAGCTGCAAAAACTTCAAGTCATATAATTCACTCTATGCTTTTCCCAATGATTTTCCTGGAAAACACAGACCAGAAATTATACATTTCTGCTTTGTCTAACATTTTAATTCAAGTCAAAAACAACATGTAACAGTGAAATTCAATAAATTAATCCTAAAATAAAATGTGAAGGTCCAAGGAAACACCAGTAGTGAATCTGCAGAAGGTCCTATCTTGCTCTGGCCTCTGGGTCTTTGGTTTTTGTCTAGAATTGTGACACATAAGTAACTAAAACTCAAGGTTCATGATCTTTTAATAACCTAATCTATTAAAAGTAGATAGAAAAAAAGTTGATAAAGAACAGAGGCCAGATCAAATGAGATGTTATCAGAGAAGATCAAAGAACACATGCTTCAATACACTCCCATGGAAGAAGAGGTAATATGGAAGAACTAAAGCATCAGGAAGAAGGGAAGAGGAATAAACAAGTCTTTACAAAAACTAGAAGAAAAGGTCAGGCAGGCGGCGCCAGGCAGACGCTGAAGCATGCGCACGCAGGGGGCCGCCTGCCTCAGCAGAGCCACAGCACCCACCCCGCACAGTGCCTTCCACACCACAGGCACTTGGTAAAGGGGTGTCCACTGAATGAAAAGTGAAAATGATGTTCTCATGCTCTTATGCTAAGGAAGAGCGACCAAGGCATTTGGGGAGGCGGCCAAAGGCTGTATCAACATTGCATGGTCAAAAAGGAAACAAAAGCAAACAAAAAAGGTGGTAAAACAAAAGGTGAGGTCTTCTAAGCCGAAATATTAATTTCACTCCTCCCTGTGCACAGTACGTAGTGTTCTAACTCTAGATATTGCTTATAAAATAATTCACTAGCTAACTACAACATGTTATAGGAAAAAAGGTAGTAACTAATGCCACAAAATTCCAACACTGGCATTTCCTGAATTCCCTGAAGCTCCTACTACCCTTTGCTATTCCCTGTAGGTACTACAGAACCTACAGACCCAACAATGTGCTTTGTATCTGGTTTCTTATGGTATGTTGACGTCTCCACTTTTAGAAGGTAGAGGAGAAAAATACCCAAGTACAGCATCAGGCCAACTGATGCTGAAGTGTTAAACAACTGTTGTGCCATCCTTTATGGAGACCAGCTAGAAAAGAAGGTACTTTCCTCTCAGACTTCCAAGTGCCTGTAAACTTAGAAATTACTCAAATGTTCATATTCTACCCAAGTAACAGGTTTCTATGTTCTCCCATTATCTGAATTAACTACTGGGGAAAAAAGCTAAGGGAACAAGATTATCCTACTGATCTCTAAATACTCTCTTCAGATGCCCAGAAAACCTCACTGTGGGTATCTATCGGAAATGCCTCTGCCCCAAAAGGAAACATTTTCCAAAGTTATGAATTATTGCAACAAGGAGACCAACCAAGTCACCTTACCAGTATTTATAAACACAAAAGGACATGTCGGTTATCTGTGTTGTGGGAAGTCAGCCAGGAGCAAAGTCAGGAAGGAAGGAAGGCAGAAGAGTTGAGCTATCAGAAAAAAGTAATACTTCTGTCTTCTATTTTTGAGGACAGGTTTCAAATGCACATGCCCTACTAGGTGCCAATAAGGACCTGACTAATACGTGTGCAAATGCCCTAAGGTGGGAGTGTCAATAGGTGGGCTGACGGTGGTCAAGTCTAGACAGTAAGTTTATTACACAGAAAAATAAATACAAGATTCAAAAACTGAAATTCATTTTACCTGGTAATTTAAATATTATTCTAAAAGGGAGGCAGAATTTCCTTAAGATTAAAAGTCACCAAGTAAGACAAAGTTGTCTAATAGAATTCATCATTCTCATATCCTACTGAGGGAAAAAGAAAAGAAATTCTTTTCTCTGTGATAAGTTACTTTCTAAGTGACTGCTTTTAATTAAAAAAGAGAGAGAGAGAGAAAAAAGGAAGGGGGGGCGCAATTTTCCATGAGTTTCAATTATACAAATGCCACAAACAGCTTCTAAGGCTGCAGCTATGACAATGAACTTCCATGTCACAAGGAAGAGAAGGAAGTGGAAGGGAACAGTGCAGAGGAAACACAGTGACACTGTATTACAGTAGGTATTTACGTCTGCTATCCTCATCCAAGGTGAGGTCAACAACCTCTGCAGGTGAAGCCCAAGTCTGCTGGGGAGTCACAGCAGTCCATGACTGTGTTTGCCGGGAGCTAACGTACTGTGGGCCGGAGCCGTGCTTCCATGAAGAAACACTCTGAATCACACCGCCTCTGGGATGGACACACCTACATGGAGATGAAAAGGCAAAAGCACAGTTAATCCTACCATAGGAAAAAGAGACCCGATCCTACTACAGGAAAAACAGACACCGATGTAAGTTTCCGTTATATTGATACTGATACTATGCTGGTTCATGAAATCAACAACCAACATCCTTCCCTTTTCCTCCTTCCTTCCAATTTTGCATGTCTGTCTGTCTGCCCATTCTCCTCACCCCAATTTGGCTTAAAAAAGGCCAAAGGTCGGCCCTCCCTGATGGCACAGTGGGTTAAAGCACAGCACTAAAGCTAAAGCCACTTCCGCATGAGTTCAATCCCCGCCTGCCTTGGAGGTGACCACATGGCGCGGCAGACCTCTCCTGACCTGCCCGGTGCTCCCCTCAGCAGTATACAGTATACTTCACCAGCTGGCCTGTTCTGCTCCCCACTCTGTCTCTGGTGAATCCTCTCACCGCCACTGCACCTCTGGTCTATACCCCAGTTCTGTATGCATAAATAAATACATCTTTAAAAAAAAAAAAGGCCAAGGGTCTTGCCTCAGTGAGAACCCCTAAGTTATGCCTTCATCAATTACTGACAAGGAGATGATGTGTGTGTGGGTGTTCTCACTCATTTAAGTCTGAAATCTTCAGGACAGGGTGCAGCATATAAATCTAGAGCAAATCAAGATGCCAAACAACCTTAGTATGAACAATGAAACAGTAAGATGTGAAATTTGTTTAAAAGTGAATTCTGTGCCACATTCGGTAATTACAGCTTTCTGAAGGCAGTGATAGCAATTTTTTTTTAACATATTAAGATTTGTAAAAGTGGGTAAGTATGAGGTCACACATAAAGAATTAACTTCCTTCTTCCTGAAGGCCACAATAGAAACACCAGAAGGCCACAATAGAAACACCTGGCTCCTTCACGGGAACCACTTAACTCTTACTTCAGTGAAAGTAACAAAGGGGAAGCATTCAGTTTAGGCTCTTCAAGAGTCCTATCAGGTGACAGAACTGCCTCGCTGAGAAATATGACAAAGAGTCCACTGAAAGGTAATTGTTTCAGAAACAAGGACATAATGAAACCACATTCAAGACGAGTAATACAACTGTGAGTCTCCAGGATAGACCACGGAATAAGTTTCGATTTAAGTGAGAAGAAATCTGAGAACTTAAGCTACCATTGCTACGTATGTCCTCACGAGTAAATTAGTGACCAGTCCTCATGTAGTATAGGTGAGAAGTGACAGGTTGTACAAATGTAAACACAGAAGGTACTTCAGTGGATCCTGAGTGGCTATTCTGACAGCCTGTATAGAGATGCCGGACCACTTTGATTTATTTCCAGCTTTGATTCAATGCTACCTTTACTGTTAGGTTCAAAACAATATTAAGGTAACAATGGACAAGGTTCAGTTGGAATTGTGCTCCCAAGGACCCTAAGTTTCTGCAAGGAGACCCCGCCCCTACAAAAGGTTAACCTTGCCAAGAAAGGTGGTGAAAAACAGATATCTTAGTGCCAGACCTGGGGAAGTAGAACAGGACAAGAGGACTAGACTGTCATCTGTTCAGAAAAAGGGTGCACAGATGCTTACACAGAGGCTACTACATTTTCAAAGATTAGCTAGTTAATGCATTAAAATTAGAACATAAAGTGAAAATACTAATACAAATCTATCTAGCCCACTGGAGCCAAAGGACTCAATTCAACACTAACAGAAATGGTTTGAATGACTCTTAACAAGAGAACACTAAATTTTTAAATCAGATTCAAAAAATGTGACAATCCGAACAGATCTATGAGGCAAACATAGGTGTTGTTACCCATAATCGACAGACAGGGAAAATGAAATTTAAAGCAGTTACATGATTTGCCCAAAAGTATGCTATTTTTAAATGGTAGGTCAAGAAACTTTAAGCCAGGTATGTTCTCCAGACCAATGCTTCCCATAACATATTGTCCTGAAGGGTACATTAAAAATTAGATAAGGAAAAACACAGCATGAGTCAGAACGATGTAAAAATAGGCCCAAAGTAACAATCTAAAAGTATAAAGTTCTTCAATAATTCCAAATCTCATCTATACAAGTATTTGACTGACACAAGTCTAGCTAGAAATATAGCAGGAGTTCAGGAAAGAAAGAATGATTACAAAGAGAGTCCATGTAATCTTTGGCAGGATACCTAGAAAATCTACAAAAGAAATTATTCCCAATTATTGTTACTGTGTTACTGCTAAGTGACAGTGTGACTTCAGGTAGTGGCTTTTAAATGAATCTGATCCAATCTGCTTATTTCATAGAAGAGTAAGGCAAACACAACTGCCCAGGATCTCAAGCAAGTTAAGCAAAGGACCAGAACAAAATCAAGACTCCACTGGGGAGTTTATTTTCCGCTAAATAACTGCACCTTCTTTAGACTACACTTGAATTACTAGGCTTTGTCTTACTGTGAAGAGCACTGCCTAGCCCTTAGGGTCATTAGATAAATAGCAAAGTGATTCCAGAAAGAGTCTACTGTAGGCAAATGCAAGGCTTAGCGAGGACATTTACCATAGAGAGATAAGAATAAGGAGATGAAGCACTTCTTCCATTATCTATATAAATACAGACCAAATCTGTAGTTATGTTTCAAGTGATTCCAGCTTCCTGAAGCCAACTTGAGCTAATTCAAATCAGAAAGACAATTTATTATAAATACACAATGCTGCAAAGAACCTAAGGATGACAGAACAAGTGGGCATACTTCATTTTTTCATGCCCAACCTCTATTTTTCTTATTTCAAAATGTTAGTTTCTCTGGAGAACTTGATGATCTCGTCTTCGGTGAAAAGCTTTCCAAGCTCCCGTTCAATTAACCGCAGCTGGAAGGGCAACTCCCAAAAAGAGAGCCACCACGGAAAGTGGCGATTGCACCCTGTACAGAGATCTCAAGAGCAGAATAAGAACCAGGAGTTGGATACGGAAGGTGAAACTACACAACAATTGCAGCTATTACAAAAAGCTGCCTTTTAAATATTCAAGCAAGTGCTGGACAGCTGTTAAGAATGTTTGAGAGTATTAAGATGACTTTTAAGCAACTTTTGAATAAAACAGGTGAAACTATCCTGTTGAAGTCAGGGTAAAAGTTACCAGAGGCAAGGAAGGAGGGTGCAACTGGAGAGGAGCAGAAGGTGAACTCTCTTTATCCAAGTGCTGGTCCTTGAGTCTGAGTGGTTTGAAAAATTACAGTGTACACTCAGAACTTTTCTCTGTGTGGTGTAGGTCAATAAAAGTCAAACAACTATTTTATGATCTAATGACTTCAACCAACTTGAATAAAGTGGTTGACAGGGAATAGAGGAAGTGAGAGTAATATATTTCTTTTTCAAGTACAAGGAAAAAAAGGTCAACTTCAGACAGTGCACATTAACACTCATACCATCCCAACAACTTCACACTTATACCATACAGAACAACTCATACCAAATAGAGAGGAAATTTTTCAGGAGGAAATGGGACCACGACAATTGTAAATCCCACACAGGTGCCCTATAAAAGCAAGATGTAAGAGGATCAAAACCTTGTAAGGCAACCACCATAAAACAGATTTTCATGCACTATCATAAATCCTTTGTATTATAAAAGATATGGAGTGGAACATAGCTGGTTTTTAATTGGCCCAACCCAATGCTAGCACAAATACAGGCTTTGTTCTCACAAGCATTTAATCTGCTATGGCTGGCAACACAACATAGAGTTGTATTTTGAGTCTTAGAACCAAAACATGCTTAGGTGTCGTTTCCCAAAATGCTATTAAAAAACACAAAACTTTCTATAAACAGTAAGTTTTGTTACAACTTACTGTTCTTCATACAATCCATTAAGGAGAGACGTCACAATGGAAAGAGGGAAAAGAAGAAAGAGTGCAGGTTCTGATGGTCAGATTTTGATACAGCTAACTCACTATTGTAAGAAAACAACATTAAAAATTAATCATTTTTGCTCTCATTTACAGAGCCTCAAGGTGACCTCTTAGATAACATTCCTACTTACTTTTCCTAGCTGAAGATGAAATGAATCCTTGTAGCTTTAGGAAAATGCTCATCCGCCCCTTTAGCTGTTTGAGGATTAATGTTAACAATGGATGCTAAGAAGTAATCATCAGTCTTAAATGCAAAAGGCTTCCTGCATCAGTTATTTTTACTGACAGATGAACCAATGTCAACACCAAGGACCACAGTGAACAAGGTTGGGGTCTGATTATTTATAAAAGCTTCAGAAGTTATACTAAATGAACAGTTCAAGCATGGCTCCCTAAAAGAAAGATCTGTGCTTATGCATTCATCTTCTTAGGGCAACTAGCAATGAGGCCCAGAGTAGAGGATGAAAAGAACCAAAGTCCAAGGAAAATACTGGCAAAAGTAAGAGGATTTTAGAAGAGCTCTGGGTGTTGGAAAAGTTTCCATCTCATTGACAGAAAACATCTTGTGAAGTTGGGTCGCCTAAAAATTAACACCTGGAAATAGCATTTAGGTAGTGTCACATTTATCACAGCAATTCAAGGCAGTTGTAAGATGCACTCAACCATTAGTTCAGAAAGCATGCTTTCTAATCTGTGACTAGAAGAAACATGGAAGCTAAGTAAACACACCAGAGTTGGGGAAGGAAAAAAAAAGCAGGGAAAGATTTAACATGCAAGAAATGAAATGGCTCATCAAAAAAAAAAAAAAAAAAAGGCACAACACAGCTATAAATTACTGAGTGCAAGATGCTTCCAATATGAAAAGTGGTATTCAACACAAGTCAGAGCAACCACGGGAACAACTTAAGGGCCAAGTTTGAGTTTCTGAAAATTCTCAAAGTTCACAAGGTAGAATATCAAAACAAAAAAATAAGAACAGGATAACTAAATCCAAACAAAACATCTAGGCATGCAAGTCAAATTAGAACAAAAAGATGTGGATAAAACCTAAAACCTTTTTCCAAGCGATAACCCTGCCAGAAGCCCATCAATACTTCATAACTGCAACCCTAGACCTGCAAGAGAAATAAATTCCAAATGAGATACAAGCAGCCAAAGGGGCAATTTTGAAGCAACCACTGAAAGCTTGTTCCCCCATCTGCTTCTTAGTTTTTTAATCTCAGTATCTGAAAGGTTAGTAGGGTTTTTTTCTAAAATTGTGCCCACAACTCTTTTTAACAAAGCAGGTTCACTGACACTCTTACTCAGTCCTAGATTCAAGACCAAGACCAAAAATTTCCTCAAAATAATACAAGAGTCAGTTCAAAGCACTGTATCAGAATCTGTCAATATGTATTACGTTTACGGACAGTGCTAACCACCACTGTGATTTCAAAATCAATTTGTCACCACCTTCAAGATGATCTCTCCAAGTTTAAAATTGAAGAATTAGAATAAACTGTATCTTTATGCTGCACAGTCTGTAAGAAAAGTCCTTGAAAGTAATGTATATAGCATGTTATTTTAAAAGTAGCCAAAGCTGAGCCTCCCTGGTGGTGTATGAGTTAAGTCTTAGAGCAACCCTGCCTACTCTATTGCTGGCCAGGGAGCTAACTTAGATGGCACAGCAGACCTCTCCTTTCTTACCCTCTGCTCCCCTTGGAGTGTATTTCAGTACCTCTGCGTGTTCTGTTCCCTACTCTGTCTCTGGTGAGTCCCTCAGTCCCCTGCCGCTCTGGCCAAAACCCCAGCTCTTGCATGCATAAATAAAAATAAATAAAGATAAATCTTTAAAAAAAAAAAAAGGTAGTAGCCAAATCATTTGTCTTAGTCCAACAAAAAGCAACGCGTCTATAGGGTAAAATGACAAGCTGGATAAAAGACCTAACAGATTCAAAGAAGAGTGCAATGGAGATAATGTGTTTCTATGTGTATGTACATCAGGGGTGGGGAAGGAGTTAAATTCTAATTTGCCAGGTTTTGATAGACATATAATGATAATTTTTAACTCCAGAAACCAAAAATGTTGGTTTAAAAAAAAAAAAAAGGCTAAAGGCTACATGATTGCATGATGGAAGGAAAGTGCTGAAGAGAAGGATGACACCCTCTATATACTATTTACTACCAAATATATTTCAAGATAAAGTAGAAGGCAAGAAAGTGTAAACCACGAGAGGTAAGTAGAATACTTAAAGAAGGGCAACAACTTGGTAGTAGTTAATAGAAAACTAGATCAGATGATACTTCTCAGCAGAGTTAAAAGATTAGATAAATAGCTAAGGTTATTACCTACTCCCTTCTATTTAACTAGGAACATATGAATAATGATGATTTGAATTTTGAAAATGTAACTCAAAAGGAACCTGATGAATTGATGTGTTCCTGGCACCATTAAGGAGATTTTAACTACACTGATGTGTCAACAGGCAGAGTAAATTTTATAGGAGGGAGTCTGAAATAAAAAATACTATAATTTCTAGAAAGATCCTGACATGGAGCTTTAAAAGGAGAATGTCACCTAAAGGGAAAAATGGAGAAGTAAACTAAAGGAGAACACATGCTGAAGTAAAGGAAGAAATCAGTTCTATCTTCCTCATGTGACAGGCAAATCAGCTTGAAGGAAATATGAAAACAGGTGAGAATATAATAGGGAAAAGTTTTGATTAAGGGAGAAAAAAAAAAGAGAGCAAGGAAAGACCAAAAAAAAAAAGAAAAGAAAATTCTTTCTTACTAGAATAGGGTAAATAAACATTTTTTAAAAGAAAAGAATTAAGGAAGCAGCTATGTAGGCATACCTATGGCCCCAAATATATAAAATAGAAGCAATACTAGTTCTGATAAAGGGAACTGATACTTCTGGGAAGATGGTGTGTAAAACAACAACTCTATATCCATAAAGTACCAATTATTTGATTGAAAAATGCCCTCAAAGATTATAGGCAGTTCTTAGTAAGAAAAGGCACCCTTAGCTAATATGCCTGGGAATTCTGCCCCCACTCCACTACAAGATTCATCTTAGATTAGGAGACAGAAAAAATGCTAGTAAATTTTTACTGCTGGGTAAACTAAACAATAAAATAAGATCTAAGAGCAAGGTCATATAGGAATTGTGTTATTTGGAGAAATAAGGAAATCACAACTCTTGTGGCACAGAAGGAAGTTGTTTACTATATGGAATGCAGGTGTGTGTGTGTGTATGTGTGTGTGTTTTATATGTTCCTCAGGAATATAGCTCAAGGCAAGAGTTAGCAAATTTTGCTAGAGGATTAAACAGTAAGTATCTTAGGCTTTGTGGACCATAGGCACATGTTGAAATTTCTTAACTATGCCACTGGAGTGCAAAAACAGGTGCCAACAATCTGTAAATAAACCAGTACAGCTCTTTTGCAATAAAACTTTACTTACAGCCATAAAAATTCAAATTTCACATAGTTCTCACGTATTATAAAACATCATTCTCCCTTTGCATTTTTTTCTCCAACCAGTTAAAAATGTAAAAATCATCCTCCACTCTTGGCAGGGTTGGCCCAAGAACTACAGTTTGCTGACCACTACCTTACAAGAATGTCAGACTTCATAAAATTATTTTCTTAGTACTTCACTGTAATTCGATGTCCTGTGGCTCTTTTCCTCCTAAGAAACAGGATTCTCTGAGTCACATGAACAGAGGGTAATAACTTGGTTTGACAAAGTTTTAACAGAAGACAAGAGAGGTACTCTAGGAAACAAGCAGACGAGGCATGATGTAAGATGCTATTTCCCAACCATTTCCTACCAAATATATTTCAAGACAAAGTAAAAGTACGAATGACAGGGGGAAAAGTCCAATACTTACCTGAGAAAAATCTGTCAAGCTATCTAGATATTTGCTAAAAATAAGAGAAAATTACTACTTCTGGTTCCCATTATATGGTTCAGATGTTCTTGACAGACAATATGCAACATCTTCTGGAGTTCATATAATCTCTAACCAAAAAGTTTTTTTTAAGCCAGAGGAAGCTCAAAAATAGTTCCCACCACTCATGCCAGTCATATCATGAGAACTAAAACTTTCTTCTTGCTTATTTTCTGATTAAAATGAAACTCACAATTTAAAATATTAGAATATCCTACCTTGCATGTTCCTGCACTCCCACAATCTCCACTTCACTGTCTGAAGAGGCAATATTGATTTCTTCATTAAGTGGTGCATTGCCAGCAGATGTTTTGTCACTTGCTAGGAATCCTGGATCCAAATGACCTAAGAGAGAGAATGAAAAAATAAACACTGTAGTCTGACTTCTTAAAGTAGCAGAAACAAAATCACTGGAAGATTTCTCATCCAAGTTAAATCAACAGAATGTCCTTAGAGCCTACCACAGAGAGACTGTCACCGAGTGCTCTATATTTTTTAAAGTTTTAAAAATTAAATAAAATACATGCTCGTGTCTAAAAGAATATTCAGACAACATGAAGACTCAGTCTTAATCTCTACTTCTATTCCTAGAAGAAAAAACTTGGAGTACTTTGGTAAATATGTACATTTAAATAATAGGTGTACATAAACTGTGATAGTTGTCTGTATTTTGTAATGCCTTTTATAGTCAACTCCAGTATGTTTTTAAGAGATTTGCATGACAGGTTCATCACCACCAAGTCAGCAATGGGGTCTCTCTACCTTTTATTATTTTAATAAAACAGAATTCTAAGTTCGGAAAACTCAAAGGTATAAATAGAATAAAAACAGAGAGGCACTTGGTATCATATTTATACTGCGAGGCTCTATTAAAGATTTAGCAAATTCACCTCTAAAGAAATGCAGAGTTGACAAAATCTGACCCCCAACTACACCCACAAGGGAAAGTTAGAGAGCTGGGTCATAATTTTTGCTCTGTGCAACCAAAAAATAAACAAAACGAAACAAAAAAGCAACCAAAAAACCCTGTGTCTTTCTGAGCTCTCACTGGCCAGAAATTAAGCACAAGCTCTGGAAAGCACCACAGTCTATGGCACGAAAGTCCATGGGGACTTCTACATGGCAGTCTTCACAAAGCACCATACATCCTGGCATCAGCACATTTTCCAGCATCACAGAAAACATGAATTCTCTCCCTCTCAATAAAGGCCAAAGGCACTGCATCAAAATACATAGCCAAAACAGTTCTAACAAGAATTAAAATGATTCCGTCTATATGCCCAATTCTTGAATATTCTTAAAAGGACCAATTTTAGAACATCTAGAAGTTAACATGAAATAAACAGAGTTGCAAAAGGTATAAATTTTCATTTATTCTCTAAAGGGTATTTTTATTTAAACATCTGGTACAAAATCACTTCTCCATATTAGAAAAAAAAATCCTTTGTGACACATCATGTAAATTAAACCAAAGTATATAAATTTCATACATACAACTCTCTTTCCCCTTCCCTGACTTCACTCACTCACTCCAATATTGCAATGCCACCTTCATACTCCTGCCAACTTTTAGTATAAACCCTTTTGGAAAGTTAGACAGTCACAAAGTAAAGCCTTGTAATTTCTACATACTATAATCTTATCTTTGAGAATTTAGCCTAAGGGAAAGGAACTTAAGTAAAATGTTACAATGTCCAAAGACAGTGAATTTGTGCAGAAACTTGGGAAAATATATGTATAGTATACAACCTGTCACACAAAACACTACAAAACCATGTATTGAGTGAAAATGAAAATAAAGCTTGAATGATTGTGAATCTTTAAAACACCTTTTTGACACTATTTTTACTTCAATTAAAAATTATATGTATGAGGGGGCCTCCATGGTGGTACAGCGGTCAAAGTCTCAGCTATCAAGCTATCCTCAGCCACTTCAGCAAGAGTTCAATCCCTAGCCATGGAGCAGACACACAGGATGCAGCAGACTTCTCCTGTCTCACCCACTACTCCCCTAGGCACTATATTTCAGTAGATCCACCCGTTTCTACACCCCACTCTGTCTTAGGTGAATCCTCTCACTCCCACACCTTTGGCCTACACTCCAGTTCTTGTATGCACAAGTAACTAAAAATAAAAACCCTTTTTAAAATATTACATGTATGAGAGAACAGATTTTTTAAAAATATTTTTACTGGCATCTTCATACAACTGGTGGTTGAGAGTCTGTTATCATGCCCAAGGGTCTGTTAGTCTTTTAATTAAAAAATAATCTAAAATGCACGGGACTATGGTGGTGGCACAGGGGTGATTTGGTGATGGGAAACCCGTGGGGATTACAATTGAGATGAAAAAAAATGTGAAAAATGATGTAAAAATAAACTTTTTAATAAAAAAAAAATAAAAAAAATAATCTAAATAGATTTCTATGCAGTGCTGGCAGTGAGCACATGTCTTTGAACTCTATAAATATATAAAAGGTGGCATTTACCATAGAAGACCCAGTTCTGTTAAATCTGAAGTAGCTACTTAAGAGTTTGGTAGGTTTAGATTTGGTAAACCTAGACCCATATTCTGACCCCAGTATCTTGCTTGCAGTCAAGTCTTTTATCCAATTTCTACTTCAATGTTGTGGTAATAACCATCATCATACACACTGTTCTTACTCTACGAGGAGGAATACAAATTGATAATCTTTTTTTGTTTGTTTGGGTTTTGTTTTTTTTTCCAAAACCTTCAACAGGCGCCCAAAATCAATTATTTCTAGCAGGCTTGCTCTGTGTGGCTGTAACAGTTCACTTCATTTATTTCATCCTACAATAAATACTTGTTTGTGACACACTATGAACTATGTTAGGTACTAGGAATGCTAGACACAGTCTCCACTCTCAACACATTTACAATATAGAAGGGGATAATAAAAAGCACTGCCATTAAACTAAGCTAGAAAACTGCTCTGACAAGAAGGTAAAGAGTGCTCCTGAAACACAGAGAATGCACACATTTCTCAGATTTGAGGATACTCAAGAAAGGCAAACTCTGTCATGAGTAGACACAGGTGAGAGGAAGAGGCATAAGAAACAGTGTGTTGCTCTTTACAATATACAGTTTGATGAGATTTATGTAAAGGGTGATAAAAAGAATGAGAAATGAGGCTGGCAAAGTCAGCAGAGGTCAGATAATGCATGAGTCTGAACCCAATTTAGCCCTGAAGCCATTAAGGCCTTAAAAGCAGAGAAGTGACATGATCTGATATCCCATTTTAAAAAATTCCCTTTTGGAATGCAGATACAAAACTAGAAGCAGAGAAGGGGATACTAGAGGCAAGGAAATGCATTACACTGCAATAGCTTCCAAGGTAAGAAATAACTATTGTTGAACTAGGAAAGAAACAAAATAGGAAATAATCTGTGCATGTATATACAGAGAGTAATGTCAGAGATCAGGCAAATGAGAGAACACAGAAGGCTAATGATAATAGCTAGATTTTATTTTTAAGGGTAAAACTTAATCTTTATTTATAGGACACTGCAATTTATAAAATTCCACAGAAGTAAGAAATCCATTGAGAAAGAAGCTTAATTTAGGATGTACAGTTTGGAACTGTTTCAGTACCATTCTGATATAAAGCATGCTACAATCACAAATCACATATGAATAGTTCTTGGTAGTCAAACTTAACACCAAACACAATACACAGCAGCAAACAAATTTTTGTCTCAGCTGAACAATCTAAAAGTTAAAGGTCCCAGGAGTGCCACCCTGAACTTGGAATGTTATTCAGAGGTAGTTCTGGACCATTTTGATTTTCCTCTTCCTTTACACAGCAATATTTCTCAATCAAATATAATGAAACTTTGCACACAGATTCATTTTTATAGTTTTGTGGAGCTTCCCTTCTGTCCAAATCTCTACATTCTTTAATCATTATACTTAATTTCTCCGTTTCACATAATTTCTCAGCAGTTTGGAAGAGATCTGAAATGGCATCTAGAATAAAGAGAATAATTTTGGCATCTTCTGTAGTTAAGAAGTTCATCAACAATTCTATTATGCTACCATGCACAATGTATAAAATCTTTTTTATTGTCCTCCTGCTGGTAGCAGCCCATACAGCTTCTTTCAGTGTCTTTAATACTACCTTAGAGAGCAAACCAACAAGAAATGGGAGTAACCCATGATCACGACGCTATACCTGGTCCTGATGGCCAGCTGAATTCTCTGACACTATCCATGTTGCTTCCTTCTGAATATCAGTTTTGGAATTGGTTAGCAGGCTGGGAAAGATAGCAAGTACTCCTGAATCTATTACAACTTGAGTCTGTTTATCTGTCCCAGTGACAATATCTCCATGGCTCTTAGTACAGGAGTCACAAGTGGCGATTCAGTAGCCCCAAGAAGTTTCACAAGTTGGGGTACATCTTGTTCACTTGGACCATCAGTAAGACAGGAAATGGCCTAACAGGTATCTACTAATATTTCTGATCACCATAATGCAGAAGACAAACTAAAGTAGGAAGAATTTGCTCTACGGCATCTAACAGAGGTGCAGAGTACTTGCTGTGACAAAGATTTGAAATTGTCCAGGTAAGATTATGGAAGAATATATGCTAAAGATGACATACCAGGAACTGCAAGAAGAGGCAACAGTGCTCAATTACCCCACAGCAGAACCTCACCTGCAGTGTTTCCTAAAGCCCACACAACTTGTTCACTGACATGAGCCTGGGGAGATGCCAACAGAGAAACAAATGTTGGGATATAACATCCATGTACTCCAGCTTTCATCTGTTCTGATGTCTTGGAAGCAATGTTAGCAAATACCCAAGCAGATTCCAAATGAATGGACTATAATTAATTATACCCAATGACACAAATTTTAGATGCAAACCAGCCCCAATTATGTTTTCCGTGGGGGCTCCCCATAGAAGGAGTTTTCTAGCAGCATGTGTACCTTGGAGCTAGCTCTTCAAATTGCTACTATTTATGCCTTTGATATTGTAATCAAGAGACCAATGAACAAAACCCAACAGAGAGGTCCTATGAGGAGGATTGAGGAGAGCCCACTAAAATCAGCAAACATACATGGTCTTGGCAAAAGGAGTCTCAGAAGAGATGGAGCTAAAGTCAATGCAGCAGAGCATACTGCCCAAGAATGGAAGAGGACAATACCCACTAAGAAGTCTGGTTATGGAGGAAAGGTGACAGGAAGGTCTTCGAGAAGATAAACTTTGTGGGGGAGGAATGTCTGTATGCATAGATTTTACAGATGAGAGAGTCCTGATCACATTTAGGAAAAAAAAAATGTCACAATACAGAGGTTTGATGGCAGAAAGCTGAGGTAATTC